ACCACCTCCAACAACCTTATGCTCGGCATCCCGAGATAGCCCCTGGGCGTCCCAGGCCGCCTATCAAGCCTCCCGTTCCTCATCGCAATGTTGTCATCGGTGTACTTCCTTAGCCGCTCCGGAAGGACCTCCTCGCCCCTCGTCTGGTGCTCCAGTACCTTGATCAAGTCCACAAACACAACCTTAGAAGAGGGCAATCTGACCTTGAACAACTCCAGCGCGGCCATGGTCTCCCGAACATCGTAGCTCACAACGCACACCGTCGCGTACGCCGGACCACCCAGCGCATCAAACGCCTCTTGAGCCTTGGCCGTCGCCTCTTCCTCGTAGAGCTCAAACGTCTCATGCGCAGCGGCAGCGTTGTACCACGACCACGGCTTTGGCTGGAGGCTCTTATTGACTTTCGACTTCTCTAGCATGCGAATTGTCCTGGTGCTGCAATGTTTCTTGAAGGCGTCGTGCTTCTTGTCATCCAGAGGTAAGGATCGCCATATAGGCTTGTCCGCGGGTGACATGACATTTATCTCTATCGCTCTGGAATTGCGCTGATCGGCGTACTGGTATCTGTCTGATAGCTCGCAGGCTACGATGACGATCTGGTCGCCCGCCCAGCAATCCGCCAGGGTCTCGTTTTCGTTGGCGCAGTCTTCGAAGCGACGGAGCTCGCTTTCATTGAAGAGGCGTGGCTTTTGAGCGATGTTGCGGGGAGATGGTCCCGGCGCCATGGGAGTGGAGGATGGACAAGATGATTGACAGTCAAAAGAGTCGGGAAACTTTGTTCCTTGACGAATTACTTGGCATTTGTGCGAGGAACAGGTCAGGACTTCCCTTACACAGTATATGTAGCACCATTTGCATATACAGACACGAGCTAACATCTAGTTGACTCAATATTGGAGACTCCCTGCCGAAATACGAGGTGGCGGCGTGGGCACTTACTCAGCCCCAACGTGACTCTTTCGCCGACGGGTTAATTATGTGATACTCAATAGCACTTGTAAATTAAGCGCACAGACATATAACAAACAGAGAAGACTTATGCCGGACGATCTGATGGTATTGTCATTGAATACTTGGCAACGTAATTGCTGCGATCGCTAGAATCATGAGAAAGAACTTGCTAGAGCTCTCTTTCATGGTAATTACGACTCCTGCTAAATGTGAGCCCAAATCCTGGAATATCACTCGCTTCAAAACTGGAAGGAAGGACCCGAAAAGAAGGCAGTTTAATCTAGGGAGTTGTTCTGGTTGTCTACCACACCAGAGTCTAGATTGTGGTCAGCAGATCGGAAAGAGACTTGAGAAAAAATCCGGACAGAACAGGCTTAGGTATAGTAGGAAGCCACTGAATTTAATCACACAGAGACGACAGGTTCTCTATGGAGCATCCTGCGTTCTTGTGGTATGCTCCTTGCAGCCGAAGACTTTGTCCCTGCGTCATCCTGATCATCTTGAAATTCATTAAATAGCCAGCAACATCTGTGGTCTGGTGAAATTCAAGTGGAGGAACTTTTACCAGAAAAATGAAGGGAAGTCGTAATATATTAATCCCCCGAGGGCCAAGGGAAACTTCAAGAAACTGGTAGCTGTGCATGGACTACGTTCACGGGTAAATACATATTAGTACTTAAAAAGGTCGATGCCCAAACCAAGAAAAGAGTTCACCACCGGTGTGACTACATCTCTTGGTGCACATGCTGGGACTCGAGCTCGGAGCCTGTCGTTGAGTAGGCTGTGGACGTAATTGATTATTGGGAATTAACCTCTCTACCACCCAGCCAGTTTGACCTGACCTGTCGACCCAGACGGGCGCCTACTGGCTGGTGACAGCAATGGGACTGAGGGGGTAATATGAAGCTTCCTTCCGATGCGTATTCCGTTTATTCAGGTGGTGAAGAGAATATCAGATGAAGGTCCAGCAAGCGATGTGAATCTGCGGAAGGCGCGGTCGGCACCATCATCAAGGTGCGATGTCCGGCCGTCATGCCGTGAATGTCTGTAGTTCGACCGCACCAAAGCTGACAGCTCTTCCGCGCTCATTTGGGCTCGCTGGTTCACTCAAGTGATATCTCACTGTACTTGATGGTGATGTGGTGACCCGATTCGACCATTTCAGTAAGTCTGCCAGACTACGTCAGCGCGTCAGACTCAGCCTCAACTCCATCTGGGGCCCCGTCAACTGGACCAGACTGCGCCCTATTGTGGAAATGACGCGGAAATGAGCCAATGCTGTTCAACTATTTTTCAGAAACTATTTGTCACTTCATCTGTCGGGCACTCTTCAAGGCAGTGAGCGCGGCAGTGTTTAGCTAGACAGGGTAGTTGAAGCTTTCGGGATGGCTTCATGCTTTTGTTCGAGTTGGGATCGGGCAGAGCTGGGATACTGTCAGGTGGCGATTTGGATCAAGATGATTTGGAATGTAATGTCGCAGATGCATTGAGATGCTCCGTTGAAGTTGCCAATATCTTCACATAAAAGCCATCATGATACCCACGAGAATTGGTTTGGATCAACAGACTCGTCACATAATCAGCTGCAATCAAAGCAACTGCTTTGATACTCATTATTCTCATATCACTGAAAACTTACAAACATCAAAATGCTAATCGCAAACCTCCCACTCGCCGCCATGACCCTGTCCTCACTCGCCATGGCTGCTCCTCAACGCAGAGACAACGAGTCGGCCACGGGTCTCAGCTTGACTGCTCAACTTCAACTCGCGGACAGGTGTGTGAGAATTGTTAACTTACACTGGTACTGAAATTAGCTGCTAACACATTACTAGCGGCGCAGCCCGATACCGTCTCCTCACCAAGGACGAAGACTTCATCTACGACTTCAACAAATCCCCAGTCGCCCTCGCCAACCGCCAAACCTTCCCAGCTGTGACCGGCCTAGGCGGCAGCATGGCCGTCGCCTCCCTACCCGGTACGTCCAAAGATACAACCCCAAAACGTTGGGAAAAGACAAGCTAACAACACAAAAACAGCCTGCGCAATGTCATTCCTCCACCTCCACCCCCGCGCCTCCGAACTCCTCGTCGTAACCTCGGGCCGCCTCATCACCGAGATGGTCCCCGAAGCCGGCGTCCTCGACGCCTCCGGCAAGCAGCGCGTCATCCGTGCCGACCTGGGCCCCAACCAAATGACCGTCTTTCCCCAGGGATCCTTCCACACCCAAGTGAACCCCGAGTGTACCCCGGCCTCGGCCGTCGTGTCCTTCACCTCGGACGAGGGCGGCACCGCCATGGTGGCGGCGCAGCTGTTTGCGCTGAGCGACGTCATGATTGAGACTTCGTTCGGGTCGAGCATTGCTGGGGAGGATATTGATCGGGTGCGCCAAGCTATTCCGAAGAACCTTGTGTTGGAGGTTGAGGACTGCCTGAAGAAGTGTGGGCTTGGGAAGCGGGCTCTTTAGGTGGTCGAGAACTCAGGAGACGTATGGCTACTGAAGTAGCATTTTGGGAGAGTATAGTTGAGATGTTCCCCCTTTTTTCTTTGCGTCTCTGAATAGGAGTGCGGAACATTCGTTGGCAGTTCCTATTCTTTCACTAGCTTTTCTTTTATCTTGTCATTTGATTCCAGGACCTTGTTAACAACTCTTCTTCTTTCACTCATTCAACATACACTTATGGGTAGATAGCTGTCATATAACCCGCATGCAAGCAAACATGGAGAATGCCGCGTATGTTGACAAGTTGGCCTAGCATCAGATAGGCACTCAAGAAATCCGATTCTAGATTCCTGAACATTAAGGGGACCCAGCATCAATTGATTTAATACTCAACTGCCAATATAAAACGGGCATCAATGACTGGCAGGTGGCGCGAACAGTGTCAAAGAAGGAGTTGTCTTGGAATCCTATAATATTATCGCGAGCTTGATATGCCTTTGTGAATGGTTGCGCCACGAGTGTCGCAGATGACCCTTGCAACTCGATACAGTCCATGTCAACTCAACTCGCTTGCTGTTGCGAGTAGAAAAAGTGTAGTAAATTCCTCAGATAGCCTACAATCACAGCACAGCAAAAGAGCCCGCTCGGGCGTCGTCAATAGTCGTTCACTCATTTGATTTTTTGTCTTTAACTCATAAGCCAGATCCCATCTATGAACTCTTGCTGCTCTCGCCAGCCTTATCCTTGCCCTTGTCTTCCTCAACGGCACCGTCATCCTCAATTTCAATGCCAGACGCAGCACCGCTCAGCCCTTCCTCCTGGTTTCCGCCCTCCATTTTCTCAGATTGCGCCAAGAACCAGTCCGCGACCTCTCGTTTGTCGTTGAAAAGCGCCGAATCGAGAGGAATTTGATCCTTGTCGTTGGCCACCGCAGGGGAAGCGCCATGGCTGACGAGGTACTTGACTGCCTCAAGGTGGCCGCCCAAGCACGCCCAGTGCAGACCTGTGTTGCCAAACTCGTTGCCGGCGTCAACGTACGCCTTCTTCTCCTCTGCAGGACGGCTGTCAAAGGCTGTGACGAGGGCCTTCACGATATCTGTACAACGAATTAGCTCAAATGCTGGAAGTTTCAAGCGCAAATGAGGCAATAACTTACCGAGATGACCATTACCGGCAGCCATGTGCAGGCAGGTTGACTTGCCCTCATCCTTGGCGGCGGTGATGATCTCGCCTACGGTAGCGCCTTCGCGCTCCGACAGGGACTTGAGGGTTTCTTCGAGATCAGCGAGCTCGCCGGCCCTTGAAAAGTAAATGAGATCGTCAATCTCCTCTTCTGAGAGTTTGGGTGCCATTTTCGGTGAGATTTTGTAAATGCTGTCTGAGGACCTAAAATGAGTCTTGAAAGTGAGGTAGAAATTTTCGGGTGATGTGTGTGGAGGTACAGTGTTAGAAGCTCGTGTGCGCACTCCGCACGGCTCCTCTTCCTCTTCAATGGACATCACTGTTCACCCTGTGCCAGCCCAAAAGCAAACGTCAAGCCAGCACCTAAATCGAAACAAAGACTCCAAAGACAACGCTAGAAACGCACATGCGCGAATGCGACAGATCAGAAAGTTCCCAAGTGCTCATCGAGCCATCTCGACATGTCTCCTGCATTGTCCACAGCTTGGATCTCTGCCTTGATGCCGAGAAACAGCATCACCTGTAGTTCTCGTCGGCAATCTTGATCATTTTCGGTGCCGTCCTCTTCGATTTCCTTGATCGTGTTGATAGCGCGCGTTCTATCTCGCAGCGTAAGAGAGCTAGTAGAGTCGAACAAGCTCGCACCAGGCCGCCTTTGGCTGCCGTTAATATCGGGCCCGTGGCTAGGGGTTGCATCCTGACGGAATGCGAGATCGTCGCTTTTTATGCCGAGCCACTGCATGCTAGGTACAGTCGTTGCCTTTTCGTGTGCATGTCCCCGTGTGCCGTAGCTGTAGCAGCGCATGATGGCAATACCATAGCAGTCGAAGTCCACAAGAGCGAAAATTGGAAGCTCAGGTTTGGCTGTGTGCAGAAGGTGTACGAACTGCTTGGTGTTCAAATCTGGGTAACCTTTGCCCTATGGATATGTCAGAGAGTTGTAGTGCTGCTGTTCCCGTAGGTAAGTCTACTGACCGTGACAAGAATGCCCAAGCCAAAGGCTGAAGTCTCCTAGTACCTCGCCGATGCCAGTGTCCGATACGTTGCCTGTTCCAGTCAGCAATGTTTTGCAGCCAACACCAAACCAGTCCAACCTCTTTCTCGATGACTAAGACCCAATGTGCTGGACCAAAGTCAATTTCGGAGACAGTCCTGGCTGAGGGTATGAGGATCCCCTGGATCTTGATTAGCAACAGCTGTGGTCAAGTCTTGGTGCTCCGTACGTGCTCGCTTGAAGAAGCGTCAACTTCGGAAGTCCTGGAACGCAGAATAATAGGCCCAGACACAAGGCCTTTACTTGCGGCAACCTGAGGAACGGTCATGAGATTACGTCTATCAAAGATAGGGGACACTCACTATACCGAGGTCCTCCCTCCCGAGGCCCAGCGTAAAGGCAAGGTCATCAACGAGGTTGTCGACGATGGACTGTCTTTTGAATAAATCGGTGTCCTGATAGTAGATGTTCCTGTTCCGCCATGCTCTCAGCACTTGACACTATCAGGAGGCAGATCATGGAGCGCACACCTCTTGGTAATCAGCCGGCCTTCCGTCAGGGCGCTCAGGGACAGTTGCATGATGCGCATGATACGTGCTGTATCGGCTGAACGTCAGGAACAAATTACCGTCAACCAAGCATGATTACGAACTGAACTTGGTTGCTTCCTCTGCTGTCCGGCCCGGGAAGCGAACTGCTAATCGAGTTGTCCGAGATGGGCCATGGTTGCTCGTGGATTGGTTTGTGGAAGGTCGAGTCCTGAAGGGAATGGATATCTCTCGAGACTGTAGCAATGATTCTCGAGCAGATATCAGGATATCTTCCAACTTCACAATGGCGAGCCCGATGGCATTCCTATGTGGATCCGGATCGGGGATGGTCACGACGTTGCTTGATTGACTCGGATTAGACAGCTGTGGCGTTAGTTGGCCCTCTCGGCGGCCCTTGAGCAATGGGGGTGTAGCAAAGTCCATCAAATCAAAGACAAGGCAATGGGTCTGTATGTAGTTGAATTGGCAACGCTTGAAATCCTCTGAACGCGCCCGCAAAGTTTGGTCAGACTCTAGGGTTTTGGCGGATTGTCGTTTATTGGAGGGTTGGTACGAAGAAGATGGTGTGCAAGAGAAGCTGGAGGCGGGAGCTGCAGGAACGGACGAAGGAGGCGCTCCACATCCCAAAGCCATTGGCCAATGATAGGAGAGATACCGCTAGTGGGAAGAGCACCGTGCGGCATGGGGAGATGGTGGGTAATTACCTAATCAGCAGAAGATGGAATGATGGACAGCTTAGCTAAGCTATCTTTGGTATTAGGCTCTCGAAAGCCGGTGCCGCTGAAGTTTATTTTGCGCTGGTCTGGAACTGTGCGACACCCTGGCACCTGTCAAATGGCCTGGGAATTTGCGTTTCGCCCGTCAACTTACCTGAAGTACAGCTGAAATGCCCCCAACAATCTTGAGCCAAAGTCAGCTGCGACAGACCATGAACGATGCCTCGAGGGCCCAAGGACTGACAATGTCGATCAAGACGGACTATCAACACCTATGATTACCCTGTTTCCATGTCCACCAAATCCTGATTTCCAGCAGGGATCTCGTACGAGGATGTGGTGGGTTTCTCCCGAGAACATGCATCTTCCTGTCGTTGGAGGGACACCGCCTCAGAGAGACGCGCAGGGGGCGCCGCCTTCTGGGAGCTGACTGGGCCACCATTTAACAAGTGCATGAATCCCATCCCACCACCCTCCAATTCGATCCAGGCGGCCCTCAACATCGCTCCTCCTCTGCACCACGACGACTTCAACCGCCGTCACACAGAGGACAATTACCGCCTGCCATGGTCGCCGAGAAAGCTCCATCCGTTGCGTCGAGCAATGGCACTCTTGGGGCCAAATCCGTTCAGTCTCGCAAGCGCGTTGCAGAAGCCATCGCCGAGCAGGAATGGCCCAAGAAGCCCCGCATCGATGCCAAAACCGATCGCACAAAATGGAGGATGAAGGACGAGGACGGCCGACACACCTGGAAATACTTGGAGGGCGACGACGCCGCAAAGGACTGGCCCCAGACCTACGCCGACAAGTACTACTTGGGTCTTCCTCTCGTCAGTCCACCTTTTACTGTTGCGACTTTGAATGATAGATATGTCACTGTTCTTCGCTAACACGTCTCCCGCACACACAGGACCTCCCAATCCTTCCCGAGCCTGAAAATCCACTCGATGCGACACGCAATGGCCTCGAATTTGTTGAAAAGCTCCAACTGCCCTACGGCGACTGGGGTTGCGAATACGGCGGTCCCATGTTCCTACTCCCAAGTGCCGTTATCGCCTGGTATGTCACCAAGACGCCCATCTCGTCCGCCTTCGCAACCGAAATCAAGAACTATCTCTTCGCCCGCGCGCATCCTGAGTTGGGTGGCTGGGGTCTCCATACCGAAGGTATCAGTACCGTCTTTGGCACCTCCATGAATTATACAACCTTGCGCCTCATTGGCGTCGATGCTGAGGAGCCCATCATGGTCAAGGCCAGAGCAAGACTTCATGAGCTCGGTGGCGCAACGAAAGGGCCGCACTGGGCCAAGTGGTGGCTCGCTGTCCTGGGAGTTGTGGACTGGGAGATTGTCAACCCCGTTCCTCCCGAGATCTGGCTGCTGCCAGACTGGGTGCCCATTGCCCCTTGGCGGTGGTGGGTTCACATTCGTCAGGTCTTCTTGCCAATGTCATACGTATACTCCAAGCGCTGGACTTGTGAAGAGACTGAAGTCATTCGCGACCTCAAGAAGGAGCTCTTCCCCGAGAATTGGGCATCCATCAACTGGAAGGCGAACCGCAACAGCATTGCACAGGTCGACAACTACAACCCCAAGTCCTGGCTGCTCAACACAGTGAACTGGTGCTTGGTCAATATCTGGAATCCCTATCTGCGAACAAACTGGATCAAGGAGAGAGCTGAAGCTTGGACCAGTGACTTGGTTGACATGGAGGATGCCAACACGGACTACCTAGGTCTGGCGCCAGTCAATGGCCCCATGAACCACATTGTCTGCTACATTCGGGACGGCCCAGGGGCTTACACAGTCCGTCGACACGCTGACAGAATCATGGACTCCCTATGGGTTAATGCCGAGGGCATGCTGGGCAACGGTACTAACGGCGTCCAATGCTGGGACACCGCCTTCATGATCCAGTCAGTCGTCGCTGCTGGTCTCGAGACTGATGATCGTTGGCGCCCCATGCTGGAGAAGGCCCTCGGCTTCCTCGACAGGCAGCAGATTCGTGAAAACTGCAAAGATTCGGACAAGTGCTACCGCCAGCAGCGCAAGGGCGGTTGGCCTTTCAGCAACAGGGAACAAGGCTACGCTGTCAGTGACTGCATTTCTGAGGCGCTCAAGGCCGTCATCTTGCTGCAAAAGACCGAGGGCTACCCCCAGCTTCTCGATGACCGGCGTATTTTTGATGCCATCGACTCCATTCTTCTTTACCAAAACGAGACCGGAGGCGTGGGCTCATACGAACAGCGTCGCGGGGGCGAGTACATGGAGTTGCTCAATGCCGCCGAGGTCTTTGGCCGTATCATGATCGAGTACGACTACCCCGAATGCACCACTGCCTGCGTCACGGTCTTGTCGCTCTTCCAGAAGCACTGGCCCGATTATCGCAAGGATGACATCCGCATCTTTGTCAAGCGTGCTGTGAACTGGATCCGTTCCCACCAGAACATTGATGGTTCTTGGTACGGAAGCTGGGGTATCTGCTTCACCTATGCGGGTATGTTTGCGTTGGAGAGTCTGGCCTTCGCAGGAGACACCTACAACACTAGCAAAGTCTCTAAGAGGGGTTGTGACTTCTTCATCTCCAAGCAGAGAGAGGATGGTGGATGGTCCGAGAGCTACAAAGTGAGTGTGCCTCTATTCAATTATTCCAAGCACCCGAACTGACGATGATAGGCTTCCGAGACAATGGAGTACCACGAACACCCGAGAGGATCCCTAGTAGTGCAGACCGCCTGGGCCCTGATCGGCCTGATGGAGGCTGAGTACCCCCACATTGAGCCCCTTCGAAAGGGTATCCAATTCCTCATGGATCGCCAGCAAGCCAATGGCGAATGGCTCCAGGAGACGATGGAAGGCGTTTTCAACAAGAGTTGCACGATTGCGTATCCCAACTACAAGTTCACGTTCCCGATCAAGGCGCTTGGCATGTTTGCCCGCAAATATCCAGATGAGAAGATTACCCCTGGCATTAGCGACAAGGGGGACTTGTAGAGATCTAGACCGTTGCCTTCACTTCTAGAACATGGCCATTGATCAAAAGTAGAACATAATTAATTTTAATGAGACACGATTTCTGCATTGAGGTAATGACGAAAGACTCTGGGAATTGCAAGAATGCGACATAGGGTACCCGACGATTACAACGACTCGGCCAAGTCGGGTGACAGTACAATAGCAGTGCATTCAACGACGTCGGGACGGACAGGCGCAATGGGCGTCGGACGAGGCAGGAGGCTATAGGGAGCAAAAGCGCTTCGGCTATCACCGTGGGTTCGAGGTGCTTGACCGGATGACTCCCTCGGTGATGCTCCCTCGGGTTTCAGGCGGCGATGTTTCGATTCATCATGTGGTCATCCTTGTTTTCGGCGCTTTTGTTGACATTTTCCTGTAGGATATTCAAGTGGAGCCCGACCTCTTGTTGCAAGATAGTCTTTTCTAACTATTACTACGATATATATCCTGAACAAATCTTGTCTAGATTACACATGCGCTGCTTCTGCAATTACCCTAATAAGGAGATGCTTCGTGATAGATATATTCGGTGAAGCAAGCCAGTTTCGGTGAGTCGATCGGTGAGGGTATGCTGACCGAACTTGGTGGCGGAAAGTGGAGAGGCTGCCCCACCACAGCTTCCAGAACAGTCTGACCCCTCCGAGCTGGAGGCAGCACCGACTGAACCTTGTTGGGTCTGCAGCTACCTTTCCTGCATCACCGTTTGTTCACTGACCGTGTGCTTTTCTCCCTTCCACTGCAAGCGGGTTGCTATCTATTTCCTTTCAACCCACGCTTCTTCTCTTTGAGACTTCGTCGCAGGTATAAATACCGGTGTAGGAATAAAAACGGCACAGCAGTCATTCGACTTTCCAAGCTCACTTCGGTCCGCATCGAATACCTCCCATTCCCCCAGCATCCAACGGAGCAAACCTTCCAAAATGTCCGAATACACAGCTGGCGCAGCCGGCATGACCGCCGTCGACAACAGAGACTGGGAAACCGCCATCACCCAGCTCTCCAAGGCGATCAAGGTCATCAAATCCCCCAAGTGGCTCATCGGCCGCTCCAAGGCCTACATCGGCACAAAGGACTTCCGCCGCGCCCTCCGCGACGCCGAACTCGCCCAAGTCGCCGCCGCGGGCCGCAACAACCGCCCCTTCATGGCCGACGCGCAGTACCGCCGCGCCGTCGCCCACTTCCGTCTCGGTGAGCTGGCCAACGCAGATACCTGCGCCACCTGGGCCCAGCGCATGGTCGAGGGCAAGAGCATGGCCGAGCTGAGGGCGGCCGAGGTCGACGACATGGGGTTCGCGCAGGGTACTAGGAAGGCGCTGCAGGATGAGATAACGGCTGTCCGGCAGACGGAGGATCCGGCGCAGAGTAAGTTCGGGGCCATCTGGAACTCCATTTGCGCTCTGCGGCTGCAGATCCTGGGCGGGCTGGAGAAGCTTGCGGGGGACGATGAGAAGAGAAAGGTGACTGTGAAGTTTGCGCCTGACGTCTCGCTTGATGGTCCTGATACAGATGAGGTGGAGGAGTTTACAAAGGAGGAGATTGAGGTGGCCAAGGCGGAGGCGGTCGCGAAGCCGCAGCCCAAGAAGGATGTGCGTGTGGACTTCTTCCAGAGCAGTACTACTTTGACAGTCACTGTCTTTGCGAAGAACATCCCCAAGGACGACCTCAAGGTCGACTATGGCGATTCTGAGGTATGTCTTGCTTGAAATGAGCACAAAGCACCGGGCAGATGCTAAAACAGCTTTCCAACAGATCAGCATGTCGCACATTCCCGGCCATGAGCCCTCTTACACGATCCATCTCCACGGCCGCATCGACCCCGCTGGGTCGAAGCATACCGTCACCGCGAACAAGATTGAGTTCCAACTCAAGAAGGCGGAGGCCGTCAAGTGGCCTACACTGCAACGTCCCGCCGACAGCGCCGCTCCGGCAGCGAACAAGTCCAACCCATCGCCCACTACAATAGCAACCGCGCAACCCAAGGCTGCCGCGACCTCTGGCCCCGCATACCCGACCTCTTCCAAGTCCGGACCCAAGAACTGGGATAAGCTCGAAGGCGCCGACGATGACGATAGCTCCGATATCAACGGGTTCTTCAAGACGCTGTACAAGGACGCCACGCCAGAGGCACGGCGCGCCATGATGAAGTCCTTCACCGAGAGCAACGGCACCTCGCTCAGCACCGACTGGGAGGACGTCAAGAACCGCAAGGTCGAGACTGTCCCTCCTGAAGGTGTCGAGGCTAAGAACTGGGAGTCTTAGGTGCTCAAGGTGGGCTGATGCACCACAACCGAGGCTCATATGATAAGTAGCGAAACGCATGTTCACGGGTACGGATTAGGAGGCATTGGCATCTCCTATCAGGAATGGTTCGAGGGACATCATGATATGACATTGACGACGGGGCGTTTGGGCAGTGATTTTTGGGCATTTGCCTTTCCGCAGACACAAAAAGTAGTGCATCATGAGAGGGAGAGAGCACGTGTTCTTATTCCTCTTCAATCTGGCGTTAGGCTTCGTTGATCGAAAAGTAAGTTGCTGGATTATACGTAGGTTATTGAAGACCAGCGACCACAATTTCCTCGATTGACTTGCCACGATCTCCATTTGGACATGTAACACCATCGTGTACACATGGTGTGTGACTAAAAACCAGCACCACAATGCTGGCTCTCCAAAATGCACCAGACTAAGGTATATGTACATGCATAATCTCGACTGACTGAGCGCATCAAACCAAGTTCATGTTGCTTTCTAGATTTCTGATCCAACATCTTCCACGTCTTTAGATGGGTTCGAGGAACGGCCGTAGAGCACTTTTGAAGTCTTCATCGGCAACATATGTACCCTTAAGCCAGCGGCGCCCGCTTGCCGTGTCGAATGCACGGCGACCGTGGAGGACGCGTCGGTTATCGAATAGCACGCACTCGCCCGGTTGGAGCCTGTGCTGGTACATATTGTCTTCTTGCTCCAGGGTTTCTTGGAATATCCGCGCTCCCTTGATCCAGGCTTGCCAAGTTTCAGAGCTTGCTTTATCGGGCGTGCCTGGGAGAGGCGCCTGGAAAGGCGGGGACCACCAGACCTCGCGGTCTTCTCCAATTTTATCAGCGATGACGGGCCGAGCTTGGCGGTAGAAGAAACCATTCTTGGCGTAGTGGTAGGGAACCGGGTATTTGGCCAATGCAGAGTAGGACTCGGGTTGGAATCTTTCGAGCCAAGTTGCGGCGTGTAGGGCGTCGCTGAAAATGGACTCACCCCCTGAGCACGAGTTCTCCAAGCAATGGAGGAGCTGGATGCGAGGCGGCGAGTCGAGATAGAGCATGTCCGAGTGCAGGCCTAGGTAAGAGGAGGTGTAGGCAACGTTTTCAGCATCCGGTTTAGAGATGACGTCCCAGGTGTGGCCATAAAATGTCTCCTTGACGGCACCGAATTTCAGAGCTATATCAGCTACGGCCTTTTCGGTTTGAGGCACATTGGTGAGGAAAACGAGCCCAATCTTGGCGAGCGAAAGGGCGGTTGACCTGAAAGCCGGGCCTCCCTCCATGTAGTCTTTATAGTCGATCCTCTCAAGCTTATCAAGAAGGGTTTCCTTATTCCACATATATCTCTGGGTCTTTTTCACACTGGTATGATGGAAGAAAAGGACTGGCCGTTCGGTCAACAACCCCGCCAGACTCTGGGGGCCGGTGGCGGGAAAGACGGAAACGTGGCCAACGTCGGCAGCTCGCGGGATGTCGTTTGTCCAGCGGATCTCATAGGAGCCATTTGGCATCTCCTTTGCGCTCTCGAAGGCAATTCCGCTTGGGATTTCGGCGGTGGAGAAGGACTTGTTGCCCGAGGAAGGGCTGACGCAGTGCGGGCAACCACAGCGGTCTCGGAGCCAAGCCACGTCTATGTGTTTCGTATGCATATGGCCATCAGATTGACCGGTGATAAGAAGCTCCTGGCGACTCGGTAGGATAGCAACTTCAACCACCTCTAGTTCTGCTTGCGCCTTCGGGTCTATCCGCAGCGCGGGGTCGGGAATCGTTGCAGCCACTTCGACCTGTGGTTCCTGGCGCAGGGCCGCGGCTTCTTGGGTCTTTGGAGAGGTGGTATGAACACTAGCGGAGGTCGAAGGCAGGACACGCCGGCGGAGGAAAGGAGAGGGGATGATCGGTCTCGTTGTCGCATGCTCGAGGAGGCGCACCACCCGCGCCGCGGGGCGGAGATTTCGTGCCAGGACCATAGTCGAAGTCTTGCGAGGAATGCACCGTTGTCGAGTGAGGGTATTCTGTGAACCAAAAAACACAGAATACGGAGGTCGTGGCAGCTACTGGGAAGCTGCACGACGAGGAGAACAGCAAGAGACGCGCAGCTGGAGTTGGTCAGCTCGGTGGGACGTCGCGACCTTGGTTGTATCGCAAGAGCCGAGGGAGGGGCTCTATAAGGTAAGAGAATATGTAAGTACGACTTTCCGAGTGCACAGTAAAGACTGGATGAGCGGACAATGATCCGATTAAAGGGGGGAGTTTGGCCGGTCCAATCCCACTTCGTCACTGCCCTAAGGGTAAGCTCCGGTCTCGACCCTCCGTTGACGGCGGGACGGAAGCTCCCACCTCAGAGTTTAGGGGAGCAGCGGCAGCAGCAACAGGGCAGGAAGGGGCCGAAACGAGGGGACGAACCTCGGTCGGATGGCATCTTTTTCTGGGGAAGGCGGGGGAGCTTGGTCACTGTATGCCGCACTGTACTTTGACTGAGGGGCACCTTCTTCACATGCATTTTACTGTGTACGTATTCTGCAAGTCTTCCACCAGTCTTCCATCTTATCTAATCTTTTCCATCTCAACCTCCAACTTTCCATTGAAATATGCCATTCCATGTTCCATCGCAACCTAATATTGATTTGAATTTCTGCTGCCTGTGATGCAGATGGACAAGATTGCTTCTTTGGCTCAGGATGTGCCTGACGCTTTCACCAAAGGTCTCTGACAAGCCTCAGC